AAGGTGAGGAAGGTGACCTCGCCAAGCCCCGCCCCCGCGCTGCCCAGCGCCACACCTGAGTGACCAATGAGTGACCATGAGTGACCAATGAGTGACCGTGAGTGACCAGTGAGTGATCAGTGAGTGACCGTGAGTGACCAGTGAGTGACCAGTGAGTGACCACTGAGTGACCACTGACCCTGAGTGACCCTGAGTGACCAATGAGTGACCAATGAGTGACCCCTGNCCAGTGAGTGACCACTGAGTGACCACTGACCCTGAGTGACCCTGAGTGACCAATGAGTGACCAATGAGTGACCCCTGAGTGACCCTGAGTGACCAATGAGTGACCAGTGAGTGACCAGTGAGTGACCCCAAATGACCCCAATTACCCCCAAATGACCCCGAGTGACCCCAAATGACCCCGAGTGACTCTGAGTGACCGCTGAGTGACCCTGAGTGACCAATGAGTGACCCTGAGTGACCAGTGAGTAACCAGTGAGTGAGCAATGAGTGAACAATGAGTGACCCCGAGTGACCTCTGAGTGACCCTGAGTGACCCCGAGTGACCGCTGAGTGACCCTGAGTGACCACTGAGTGACCCTGAGTGACCAGTGAGTGACCACTGAGTGACCAATGAGTAACCAATGAGTGCGCAATGAGTGACCCCAAGTGACCAATGAGTGACCCCTGAATGACCCGAGTGACCCCTGAATGACCCGAGTGACCGCTGAGTGACCTCTGAGTGACCCCGAGTGACCTCTGAGTGACCGCTGAGTGCCCACTCACCCCCCAGGCCGCTCAGGGTCCCTCTGGCCGCGGCCACGGCGCTGAGGCTGCCCCAGAGGCAGAGAGCCACGGCCACAGCGCGGCACCTGCGGGACACAAATTCCATTTTTTAGCCCCAAAATCCCATTTATTTACCCCAAAAATCCATTTTTCCCCCTAAAAATACCTTTTTTCCCCTAAAAAAACCTTTTTTCCCCTAAAAATTACTTTTTTCCCCCTAAAAATACCAATTTTTCCATTAAAAATTAGCATTTTTTCCCCATAAAAATTCATTTTTTCACCCCAAAACTATCTTTATTTACCCAAAAATTCCATTTTATAAAATCAAAATATTATTTTACCAAAAAAAATCGATTTTCCTCTTCCCAAAATTCCTTTTTTCCACCTAAAAATTCCCTTTTTTTACCCCAAAATTCCCCTTTTTTACCCCAGAGTTTCCTTTTCTCCACTAAAAACTGCTTTTTTCCCTCTAAAATTTGCGTTTTTTCCCCATAAAAATTCCCTTTTCCCCTAAAATCTCTTTTTTCCTTTAAAAATTTTCCCTCTAAAATTTGAATTTTTCCCCCATAAAAATTCCCTTTCCCCTCTAAAATTCGCATTTTTCCCCATAAAAATTCCCTTTCTCCTCTAAAATTTGCAACTTTCCCCCTTAGAAATTCCCTTTCCTCTCTAAAATTAGCTTTTTTTCCCCATAAAAATTCCCTTTTCCCTGTAAAATTTGCAATTTTTTCCCCATAAAAATTCCTTTTTTCCTCTAAAATCTGCAATTTTTCCCAATAAAAATTCCCTTT